TTGTTGCTGTTGTCCGCGATCGCGCTGGCGAAGTTTAGCGAGTGTACTGAAGACGTTCTCCACGCGGCTCCACCAGTCGGATCTGTGGGATGCGTATCCGAGTTGGTGGTCACCTAGTTCTCGTAGTGGTTGTTCCTTGAATGCATAGCCTCGCCGGATGTGTGTGGGGGCTGGGCTGTTGGGTCCGTGGTCGAGCATGCTGGCAGCGGTCCAGGTGTCGTCGAGCGTCTTGGTGTCGGTGCCCTTTGCTCGTTCGGTGAGCTGCTCAAGTAATGGCTTCTGCTCGGATGCCCTTTGAGCCTCGTCGCAGTCCAGGTCGTTGGGCAGCGCTGAATTCTCGTGGTCGTCGGTGTAGTCCATGTCGCTGGCGTGGGCCCTTTGAGCTACTGCTGCGACATGTGTGTGCACCTCCGAATCATGCATGTTGTCGATGTTGGCGTGGGAGTAGTGTGGGAAGTGGCCGTCGTGTTCGGGTTCGAATTCGTCGAGGTAGCCCGCAGCGTCGTCTTCCTCCATAGGGCCCTGGTCTTCTCCATCCATGGTGGTTCGTCGGTGCTGCGGCTGTTGTGTAAATGTCGGGGTCGATGTCGTTGTTGTTGTGGTGTCTCGTGGGTGGTGGTGCCAACCTTGCGGTCCAGGAGCTTCCCAGCGGCTGGCGTCGGTCTGGTCTTGGTCGTGTGGTGGCTGTGGGGGTGTCGTTGCTTGAGCCCAGGGGCGCTTCCTATTTTGGCGTTTGGCGGTGGTTGGCTGCTTGGTGGGTGGGGCAGGGCGCGGGAAAGCCTTCGGCATCTGCCGTCTGCGGGCGAGGTTTGAGTCTGTGTCCGCTCGGATAGCGATGTCGACCCCGATGTGCGGCTTCCAAGGTACGTCGTGCACTGGTTGTGTTCCTCGTGCGAGTCTTTGTCCTCCTTCGTTGACGAGCGCGCAGTCGATGTTGGAGGGCTTCGCGTCGCCGATGTAGCGCGCATGCCGGTTGTCGTCGAGTCCCACGTAGGCGGTGGCGCCGAGGGCTGCGGTCCAGCCTGACTGCACCAGGTCGGCGTAGGAGCGATTGAAGTCGCCGCAGATGATCCACGGCGTGTGCGCGGTGGCGAGGAAGGCGGCCAAGGACGTCAACTTCCTGGAGTTCTCGCCGAAGTTGAGGGAATGACACGGGTCGAGGTAGAGGGGGATGATGAGGAGTTGGGAGCCCCGCAGGCGCAGAGTGACTGGTGCCCAGTCGCACATGCGGTAGGTGGCGTGGGCGTCGTCGGCGTCGTAGGCGGTGGCGCCCGAGACGTTGGTACGTTCTCCGCCGATGTCGGCGCGTCGTTGCCTTGAGGTGGCCCTTGGTGAGGACTCCCGTGCCTCCACAAGTTCCACTGAGGCTGTTCGTGCTGGCGCGCGCCGCGGTGACGCCTGCTGAGAAGCCCACCTTCTGCAACGAGTGCTCCGTGTCCGCGAGCTGGGCCTGGGGCAGGTGGGTCTCCTGGATGGGGTAGACGTCGTAGGGCTGCCGCACCACTCCGTCTCGTCTTAGCCAGCTCAACACCGCGGGGCCCCAAGTCGTGATGATGGCGCTGAATATGCGGCGCCCGTGGTGGGAGTCGTCGCCGAACTGCCGTCTCCCACCGCGCCCTGACCTTCAGCGGGATGCGGGGGCCTCGGCTGAGGCCGCCGCGTCCCGCCGCTGTTGGAGGCAGCCCCCCGCAGCGGTTGGCACATTGCTGTCGTGGGCGTCTTTGTCGTGCTGGGCCGCAGATGCAGAGGCACCTGCGGTTTGTGGAGCAGCGGCGGTTGGCTCGTCTGCGGCCAGTCCCGTCGCGCGCTGCTCCGCATTCCGCTTCTTGTAGGCCTGCTGGATCTCGGCCCGCTCCTGCTCGGCCTTGGCTTTGGCGTCCTGGAGGTGCTGCTTCAGCTGGACAGCGAACTCCCTGGTGTTGCGCTGCAGCTGCTCGAGCACCTGTCTCTTGGCTTCGGCCACGGCCTTCTTGCCCTCGGCGTCGAGGTCTTCGCCGTGGTGGAACTCGTCCTCGACCTCGGTGATCTGCACGTCGCTGGGCGAAAGCAGGTCGGCGTCCGTGTCCAGCAGCTGCTCGAAGATGCTATTCGGCGCCTTCTGCTTGCCCTCGTCCTGGATGGCCTCGATCTCGGCCTCGGCGTTGACGACTGCGTCCGCGCACTCTTGCAGCTTCTCGCAGGCCTTTTTCGCCTTCGCTTCGGCCAGCACAGTCTGCTCGTACGCCCAATTGCAGGTGCGGGTCGCGGAGTCGAGCGCCTTCGCCGCCTCCGCGAGGCGCGCCGCCTTGGATTTGGGCGGCTTCTTCTTCTTCTTCTTATTATTATTCTTAGTATTCTTTTTTTTCTTCTTCTTCTTCTTCTTCTTCTTCTTCTTCTTCTTCTTCTTCTCGGGGGCGTTGAGCGCGTCGGCCGCGTGCGTCAGCTGCTTCGTGATGTCCTCGCCGTTGGGCAGCTTCAGCGAGCCGATGGACTCTGTCACCGTCCGCAGCGCTGTGGCGAGCCTGGCGACGCACTGCTCGGTGGGGGAGGCGTCGGAGGTGGCGTCGTTGTCCTGCCAGCGACCTCTGCCTCCAGCAGCTGAGCTCGCGCCTCCGTTGCCGATGGGTTGCTGTCGCCACCATCCGCTGCTGCTGCTGGAGTCTTGGTCGCCTCCCTTCTTGGGCCTGGCGACGCGGGCTCCGCAGCTGCACCAGTAGTCGTTTCTCTCGAGCGTGGCGTGCCACGACCACTCCTTGCATCGCTTGCAGGTGGTCCATGTCGTGGGCGCCTGCGTCCTGGAGCGGCACTGCCGTGCGGTCTCTGGTCGCGCTCCAGCTGTAGCCGCCTCCTCGCCGCTCCTCGCTGGCGCCGCTCCCTGCGGTGCCAGGCTGGCGAGCGGGAGCGCGCTGCAGCAGCGCGGGGTCGCCCCTCCGTGGGGCTCGGGCTGTCGGTTATCGCTCGGCGGGCGCCCTCGCCGAGGGCAAATGCCTGCGGGGCCCGCGCGAGAGCCACCTAGTAGGAGGAGGAGGGGGAGGAGGAGGAGGAGGAGGAGGATGAGGATGAGGAGGAGGAGGGGGATCAGGAGGAGGAGGAGCAGGAGGAGGAGGATATGTAGGAGGCAGGGATGCCAAGGGGGCGCCCTCGGGAAGGTTGCCCCGTCCCTGCTTTGCGGCTCGTCTGGCAGGACGCACGGTCATGATGGCAGGGGCCTCGGAAGGCCACGTCTGGACGAGCACGTTCCACTACTCGCGAAGTGGCTACTCGCACATGGCCTGGATCCGCCGCGGGGGATCCAGGATAAATTACATGAAAGCAGGCATGTGTTTTTTTCTGACGCTTGCGAGTAGGCACTTTGCGAGTCGTGGAACGCGCTCGGCGATGGAAGGCCACGTCCAGGCTCGTCGAGCGGGGCGCAGCCCCGGCGAGAGTGGCCGAGGAGGGGCCGAGAAGGCAGGGACGCCAAAGGGGGCGCCCTCGGGAAGGTTGCCCGTCCCTGCTCTGCGGCTCGCCTGTCGGGACGCACGGTCATGACGACGGGGGCCTCGGAAGGCCACGTCGGAGCTCTTCGAGCAGGGCGCGGCCCAAGCGAAGGTTGCCAAAGATGGGCCCGGGAGGCATGGCTGCCAGGGCACCCTCGGGAAGGCTGCCCGTCTATGCGGGTGGACTGTGCCCGAAGCCCCTCGAGTCGTGTAGCGATCACGACGGGCGGCTCTGGGCCACTTCTGCGGCCTGCGGGGGCCCTCGCTGGGCCCCGAGGAGAAGCCGGTCCCAGGGCAGGGGTCGAGACCTCTGGGGGCCCACGGCATGGGAAGATCTTGGCGTCGGGGGTCCGGGGCCATGCGCCGATTTCGATAGGTTTCCAACACGGCCCCTCACGCAGCCTCCTTTCTGAGAGTTAGCTACTGGGTGCAGTGCTGTGAAAGAGGGAGCAGACACCAGTCATCCAAGAGAACCAGACCCACGACGTGACGATATCCTCGCAACGTCGACCCCCAGAGGTCTCGTCAAACCTCCGACGTCGCGCTGCTTGTTGGCAGCGCGGACCCCAGGACGTCTGGTGACTGGACCGCATCCTGGGTCTATAGATCCGAGGCCCAGAGAGACTTGGAGCGGCTGGTTCTGTGTTATTTTGTCGCCTCCGCAGGCCCTCAACGGGGCCCGGGACGGGCAAAATACGACTGAGAATGAAGACAGGCCCAAGCGAAGTTGTCCAGACCTCCGAGGGTCCAAGCATTGAAAAAAATAGAGCGCCAGATGTCTGGGACCTTTCCCCTCTAACCTCGTTTGTTGGACGGTCTCGAGGCCGGGTGGAAGCCCCTCGAGGTCGAAAGCAACCAGGAACCTCCCCAGGTGCTTTTTCTCCACGACAAGGGGAGGTCTGGAACCTCCTCGAGGGCCTTGATTGAACGCCCCGTATGGCGCGTGCGCGCCGCGATCTCTGAGCGTCTCTCCCCCCTTCGCTTCTCTCCGTGGCCATTGCCAATAGTTCCCCTGTGTGGAGGGACGCGAGAAGCTACAATAGGCACAGACGATACGACATCTTGATGTAAAACATATGCGGGCACATTGGTTTCTCTCTCTCTCTCTCTCTCACACGCACATCCGTGTGGCACCTGCTGGCAGGCTGGTTTCTCATACGACGTGCCCACTGCACTCCCCCGCCCGGGTTGCCGCTGCCGAGCGCTTCTTGCCCCGCTCGGAGCAGGGTGCATGGAGACCACGCCAGCACAACCAGGGATCCCTGGACCCTGGGATCCCCGGACCCAGGAAGGCCTCCAGGGACCCTGGGATCCCTGGACCCTGGATCCCTGGACCCAGGGAACCAAGCGAATGGAGGGATCCCTGGACCCAGGGATCCCTCCAGGGGTTCAGAAACGCACCAGCTTCCCAAGCTGCGCCCAGCCGTGGCGGCGAGGGGAACCCCCGAAGGCCCACTGCCGTCGGCTACAGCTCGCCCTCCCCTGCGCGATCGCTGGGCGCGGCCCGCACGGAGGGGCGCCGACGCGCGCGCGCCGCCGTGCCTCGCGAGGTACGCGGCCCGCAGCGTCGGATTCACGGCGGTGCCGGTGCGCCAGGGAAGCGACGCGGTGGTGAGGATGGTGAACCTGCTGGCGGCGCGCACAAGTGGGTAGGGGGAAGAGGGGGGAATCATGAAGGCTTCTTAGAAGCAGGCTGCTTCTTAGAAGGGCCCCGGCCTTACATCTACAGACAAGGCCCGCGCCTTCTAAGAAGCAGGGACGCTTCCCCCCTCTGCGCGTGGCCGAACCTCGTGGGGGGGTCCGGGAGATCCTGGCGGTGGACTCTGTGCACACCTGGCGATGTCGCCCAGCTGCAAGTCCCAGTAACATCACACATCGAGCCGGCTCGAGAAGTGCCACAGAGAGATGGGGTCCGAGGAGGAGGGAGGGAGGAGGAGGAGGAGGAGGAGGAGGAGGAGGAGGAGGAGGAGGAGGAGGAGGAGGAGGAGGAGGGAGGAGGGAGGAGGGGGGACGAGGGAGGAGGGAGGGAGGGAGGGAGGGAGGAGACGGAGGTCCTCTCCTGGCACGCAGGGGCTGACACCCGGCGCCCCGAAAAATATCTAGGCGGACTGTTGTCATTGATGAACGTGAGAGAGCGCAACAATACGAGAATCGGCCCAGTGGTGTCAGAGGGAAAGGCGGGAACTGAAGAGACAGAACATGTATAGTCTGGGTGGTGCCACCGAAAACTGTGGTGTACACTGTGCAACTGAAGCCCGAGATCCCTAGACCGGGGCCATGAGCGACCATGAACCAAACCGGAAACATCGAGGCGGCTGATCTGTGGCCACTTGCGGTCTCTCGGGGACCGACTTCGGGCCGCGTGGCCGACCCAGTCTTGAGTATCATTGAACCGATCCCCATCCCCAGCGGCGTGGCCTGGGCCCCACTGGCCGATTTACCCCCCTAGATGGGGATATAGGCCGTTCCCCTCGGGCTTCGAGGGGTGTATCCCCAACTGGGGGGTAATTTGGTGGGGGTCTCGAAGGGGATGAGGATAGGGATGGGGATCGATTAAACGATACTGAAGTCTGAGTTCTGATGTCTTGCCTTCTTCAGCACGGGGTCTCCAAAATTTTCGGCCCCTTCTGGGGGACCAGCTTCTCGGCCGGAGTCGGCATCGACGGCCCCCGGGCCGGGCGTTGGCCCCGAGACCCCCAAAGGCCGCAGATTGAGAAAAACAATTGCCCAAGACATAGGAGGTCTTGGGCCAAGATGCGATCTCTTGGGGGGCCACATGCGAAGCCTGCCCTTAACCCCCCACAAGTTCTGAGGGGGAGGGTGGGGTTCACTTCGCTTGGGGGACTCCCGACCGAAGTGAACCCCACCCTACCCCTCCGAACTCGTGGGGGTGTCACCACCAGGGGGTCCCCACCACCTCCAGGCAACTGACCCCCTGGACCCCCAAGGACACCACAGTGGACTCCCAATGACGCCCCAAAGCGGCCAAACCCTCCTTGACCCTCGACCCTCCCTCACTCTCGAGGAGGAGGGAGGAAGGAGGAGGAGGGAGGAGGGTGGGGGCATGTGGCCCCCTAGATCTGGGATGAAAAGCCAGCCCCGCGCCTGGAAGCCCACGCCATCGAGAAGCATCCGAGAGCCGGATGCCTGGGGGGGGGCAGGGCGGGTGACGGGAACGAAGCGGTGGCCAGGGCGGTGCACCTTTGTCGGGGAGGGGGATTGTTGGAGGCTTAGGGAGGGGCACCAACACCAACACAGGGGATGATCTTCGATTTCGGTGTTGGTGGTAATCTTTCGGCCACCTTGGAAGCCCAAACACTACCACCATCACCGAGATCGGGAGCACCTTCCCTCGGTCCGTAGCCATTTAAGCTCAAGTTCCCAACGTCGCTCCCGCGCTGGGAGCTTGGTTGCAGCCAAGGGAGCGGCTCAAGGCTGCTAAACTTTCGGCCTCACAGGTAGGCCACAGTCTTGTGCAGGCGGGAAGCTTCGCGCTGTCGCCTGCTGTCTTCACGCTACGACACCAGGGCGCCGTAGGCCCACGGCCATATGGCAGGGCGCGATGCCGAGAAGGAGAAGCAGGCTTGGCAGTCTCGCTACTGCGTTCAGCGTTCTGGAAGCCTTGGGTCAATGCTGGCTGGCGCATGTGCTGCTCGGGGCGGGCTGAGGACGAAATTGGGGGCATGCATAAGGGTTCTTGCTTCCTTCGAGCCGTTGAGCCTGAGTCCCCGTCGGTCCGCGCCCCTTGGCTCCGTAGTGCACGTGGAGGTGGATCAGCTCTGCTGGGCCAGTCCAGGTACCTCGCGGAGCTCGAGGCCGAGGTGGCGGAGCTTCGTCGTCAGCGGGCTCGCACGGCCGCACCTGGAGCGCAACCTGAGCTTGAGGTGGGCACCGCGCGGCCTGTGAATGAGGACGGCGACGAGGCACTGCTGGCGCAGATCGAGGCCTATGAGCGGATGCATGCGGCTTTTGTGGGAGCGGCTGGCATGGAGGCCAAGGCAGAGCAGCATGCGAAGGCTAAAGCTGAGCGCATGGCCTTGCGTCGCTCCAAGCAGCCAGTCAGCATCCAGACCAGACAGCTCTCCACTAAGTTGCAGATCGAGAAATCCAAACTGGCCAGCCAAGCCAAGAAGGACGAGCTCGACAAGCTGCAGGAGGAGGTCAGGTTGCACGTTGAAAAGCTGGAGGCCCAACGCTGTCCAATCGCCGACCTCGAGGGCCAGTTGCGGGCCCTGCGCAGCGGGGTGGCTAAGCCTCCTGATCCTGCTGCCGAGCGCGAAGCACGTGGGCAGGTCAACCTTGACGTGCTGGACAGGCCCCTGCAGGCTGCTGGTGTCTCGGGCGAGCTGGTGGCTACAGACAAATCCAACCCGCCGGTGGAGCAGCTGCTTCTACCCGGGCGAAGGCGTGACGAGGCCCCCCAGGATGAGCCGCCTCCGGCGAAGCGGCCTCGCGCAGAGGAGATTGGGATCGCTGGTGGACCTGGACCCCCTGACTTCGAGAACTGCGACGAGGCCATGCTGTGCGCTAATCTGGAGAAGCTTGATTTCTTTGGGGAGCTCACGAAGGACGAGGGCGATCTCCGTTCCATGGCCAAGAAAGTGCACGCGGTCAAGCATATGTTACCGTATTGATATCATTGGCCGTGGTTGCATGTTGGTTCAAGTTTTTATCCTTGTGAGTATGACGGTGGCTCCTCAGGCAAGGTCCCATGGGTCGGCGGAAGTGGCGTCGACTACCCCTGTTTCGCCGCCAGTGGCATCGTCCACGGCGGCTCTCTCCTCCCCACTGGCGCCCGATGCAGCTCAAAGAAAAACAATGTCAGGACGCTCGCGCAGTTTGCGTGACAACGGCAAGCGTCTCGGCATCAAGGACACGATCGCCACCGTGAATGTGTTCAGCGGTGGTCCTCTCGTCTGGAACTTGGCTGCTGGGCCGCCCAGCAGCATCGTGGCGGTCCAAAAGCACCGCGCGATTGGCCCGAAGCTCGCTACGTTACAGGGCCAGGTCAAGGACCTGGGCTACCACGGCATCTGGCAGGAGGATTTCCCTACGGAAGCTGGCGGCAGTTCAGGTGGGGTGCGTGTGTTGGCGAAGTCTCACAGTTCGGTTACTGCAGCTCCATTCTCCGAGGCGGATGTTGCACCAGGAAGGTTGGGCGCAGCGCGTGTTCATTTGGCCTCAAGAATGGGCTGGTGGTGGCGACTGCGAACTTCCATGATTCGGTTGGTTTGGATGAGGACACCGCTTTCATACAGGCAATTCTGCAGCATTATCTCATGGTGCTGGGCTCACTACGATTGGATTTGATCTGCCTAGGTGATGTCAACATGTACCCTTCGGCGTTGATGCCAGGCTGGTCCCAAGGATTCCAAGGGTTGCACGTTGTTCCTCGTCGCATTACTTGCGCCCAAGGTGCTGGGGCGACCATCGATGATGGCATCATGTGCAGCAACTTGGTCACACGCATTTCGCAACCGTATGTGGATCAGGAAGCGGCCGCGTATCCTCACCTCCCCGTGCAGTTTCCGGCGCAGGTGCAAACTGTGGAATCTTGGGTGCGTGTACCTCGTGAGCCCCACGGCTGGCAGTCCAGGGCTCCCATGGGGTGCGCGCGTTTGCCTTGTTACGTTGAGTGGCAGGTGGCCCTGCGTTGCGCGGACGCAGCACAAGACCAAGCAGGGCTTCAGCGTGCTTGGGATCTGGTTGTCCATGCCATTGAGTGTGCGCTCTCGCACAGATGGGACCACTCACATCGCGAACGGGTCGCTCATGCTGGGCTGGGACAGCCTGTGGCTTTTGCTCTGTCCAAGCTGGAGCGGCACCCACCACGACGTCGCACGTATCAGAGTAAGGGGGCGGCAACCTTGCAGGCGGCAGCTAGATGGTTGAAGCATGGACGGCATACATGGCAGCTGTTTTGCGACAAGGCTCAGAAGCTGATGGCGGCTAATCTGATGTGCATAGTGACTATTGCTCAGACCACGCAGCTCGTTCATATTATCATTGAACCACAACGCTTCTATGGCAAGATTGGTCGATCGCCCTAGCTACCTCGACTTCCGCCTGAGCTCCAGTTGTTCCTTAGGCGTGGCATTGAAGTGTGGCTGGGGGATGCAGCACATGAGTGCACGGAGGGCTTCTTGAAGGCGGCGGATGATGCGCGGCTCAACTTTGAACGTGAACAGTCGAAGGCTTGGAAGTCTTGGGCTGGTGAATCGCTGGAGAATGGAGCCACCCGAGCTCGCGATTTACCCGAGTACATGTTCTCCAGGAAGTCTTAGACCAGACTGCCATGGCAAGTCACCACCGGTCGGTTGATAGGGGGATGTGTTAGTGGAAGCGAATTTGGACCAAGCACGGACTCACGCAGTTCCACAATCCTCGGGCTTCGACCACTGGGACGGGTTGCCAGACATGGCAGTCGATGTTCTTCGGTCGGCGCGTTCAGATTTCAAGGGGGCCACGGCTATTGGACAGACAAACATATCACCAAGAGTGTTGTGGCAGGTTTCAGATACCGGGCCGTTGTCATCTCTCGGTTGTTTGGCAGGTGTGAGTCGATGGGGTGCTGGCCAGACAGTCGAATTTACACTGCGTTGGTCAGGCTGCCCAAAGAAGGCGGAGGGCCGCGGTTGATAGCGCTCGTCAACTCTCTGGTCAGACTTTGGGCACGTGCTCGCAGTGCCGTGTCGAAGCGATGGGTTGCCAGTGCCGAGATGAGCGAAGTTCGGGGCGCTGGTGGCGCTGGGCGGAGCCCGACGGCCGCGGCGTTCGAGCGCAACCTGCACGCAGAAATGGCGTCCCTGCTGGGTTGGCACACGGCCGCTGCTGCGATTGATGCTTGGTTGCGAAAAACAATCCCTGTGAAGTTCTCAACGAAGCCCGACATCATGGATTTCCACTGCGGCTGGTTTGGAGGGTGCTGGAGTACCACCGCCAACCGCGAGTTCTGAAGGCCTTCGCCTCACATTCCGAGCCCTTTGTCTCGTGGCAAGGGCTGCTTGCAGGGTGCCCCCACTCCACCTCCTTCCTCACCCTGCTCGCGCTGCGCGCGGTGCGCAGAGTCAGGCTGCGCGATGTCGCGCCGCGAGCTCTGGTAGACGACCTCACGATGCAGCGGGCGCGGGGGGGGGGGGGTGGGGGGGGGCGGGTGGACGCGGTGGGCGGGGTCAAGAGTCTCTGGAATGCCTTGGCCAATTTTAAAGCGGATGTGATGCAGTTAGGCATTGTTCTTCAGGATTCGGCCTCTGGCAAGTCGGGGCATGCAGCTGGCAGCCGCGCGGTCCGTCGGGCCTCTCGCAGTTGGGCTGTCTCGGACATGAGCTGTCTAGGCGTGGTCGTAGGAGACCCATCACAAGAGCCCGCCTAGCCAAGCTGAAGATTCGAATGCGTAGGACTTCCCCTCTGCGCAAAGCTGCAGGTAACAAGGTTTCGCGTCTCTGGAGAACTGGCCTGCTTCCAGAGGCTAGTCATAGTTGTGGAGTTTCGGGCGCGACCGACACTGAGCTCCGCAGGCTCCGAGCTACTGCGAGGGCTCTCGTTGGTGCCAAAGGTCGCGGAGGGTCCATTACGGTCTACCTTGCGACTCAGACTGACCCATGGTACGATCCTGTTGTTGAGGCCACCCTGCGCCCTTTAAGCACTGTGCCCACGTCGTTTTGCTGCAGACGGTGTCGCTTAGAATGCTGGAGCGGGCTTGGAGGGCCCTTGCTGACAAGCGAGCGGAGACGTTCACTTGGCAGCGTGCGTCTGGGCCCATGGCGATAGTTTGCCTGTCCTTATGAGGATCGATGGGTCGATGGAGTCCTCGTTAGTTGTGCGGTCTGACCTTGGGGAGTCTTACTCGTTACTGCACATCGACCCTCATCATGTGGCTCAGTTGCTGCGTGCTGGCATTAAGAGGTGGCAGACGCGTAGGATCCAGAGCCACTACCCTGATTTCCCTGTAGGTTGCGAGTTGTGGGCCCGCGGGATCCGAGCTTCGGTCGGGCCCGAGAGGGCCGCGCTCAAGACCCCGAGGCCGGCTGGGATCATTCGATTTCTCTGGGCCAATTCATGGTGGCAGAAAGATCGGTTGCACGCTGCTGGGTACGCCCCTGATCCAAAGTGCCGAGGTTGCGGAGCCCCTTACGAGTCCGTGGGTCACTTTCTCTTGGAGTGCCCCGCAGTGCGGGAGACGCTTCTTGACGGAGAAGAGAAGGTGCCCATCGCAGAAGCCCAAGACAAAAGTCGTGACGGTTAATTGGCCCATGGCCCGGCTGGGCGCCGAGGGATTTCCGATCCGCGCAGTGTTGAGCTTTCGGTTGGAATGCCGCTGCTGCCAGGCCCGAGTATGCAGCCACCTCGGGGCCCACCGATCTTATGGTGGGGCGATTGGACCACCCCCCCGAGCCAGCGGGGCAACGCTGTGTTCACGGACGGACGGCTCGGGGAGGTGGTCTTACCAGCCAGAAATTCGCAGTTGCGGATGGGCGTTTGTCCAGATGTCTGGCGCTGGGCTCCCATTGTGTGCCTGCTACGGGCTGCTGGCGGGGCCGAGTCAGACAGTCGGCGAAGCTGAGCGAGTGGCGATGCTGCGAGCGTTGCAAAAGTTGCCGTCTGTAGAGGTAGTCGTCTCGGACCTCCTTGGCTTAGCCCAGGAAGCGCATGAATGGAGTTCAGACGTCAGCAGCTCAGCAGGCAAGCGCGCGTCAGTTTGGAGGCAGACCCATGCAGTTGTCGAGTTTCGGGGGAGGGGCGGGCGCCCTGAGGTTCACTGGTGCCCTGCCCATGAGGACCTTGACGTCGCTGTTTGCCTAGGGCCTGAGCAAGGCCATTCGTCCTGCTATGTCTTGGGGAACGCCTGGGCAATTTTAGTCGCCAAACTGGGGGCCTCGTGTGATTCGGTTAGCCGCGGGGCGGCTGGTGTGTATAGGCTGGCCCCGAAGGGTTCGCAGAATTTGTCACGTGTTTTGGTATGAGCTGGGGGCGCCTGATTGAGCTTGGGCCGTGCTCGTTTGAAGCTTTGTCGGAGGCTGCTAGATCGAGGGCCCCCCAGCCTGTGCTGTGCGTGCCTGTAGTTTCTATCTCTGGACCTGGCGGTCACACCTTCTGGCGCAGCAAGGCCCGAGGGGTATGGCGCTGCCGCGAATGCGGTACATTCGCGAAGACGGGGACAGGATTCCGCACCTTAGCCGCCGCCGCCGCCGCTCGCTGCCGTCCTTCCCCATTCGGCCTGTGGAAGGCGAATAGGGTTTTTGGGCGGGGCCCCAATGATTGGGAGCCTGTGGTGTCCGAGGGGGCCCGTGCGGCGCTGGAGGCGGCCGACAGGCTGCTTGAGGAGTCTGCCCTTGAACCCGAGGGCTCGGCGGAGGCCCCTGTGGGGCCTGGCGCGGGGGGGGCCCTTGGGAACCGACCCCCACCGATGGGGAGCCGTGCCATGGGGGGGGCGGGCGGCTCTGCTTCGGGGGGGGGTCTAGGGATGTGCGCACCTATCGCTCTGGCGTCCCACCGATAACTTCTGGGGCCCTGGGCCGTTGAAGCCCCCCCACATAGGAACTATTATATGCGCGGCAGCTAAAGGCATGTTTTCCCGACCGTCGGCGGCTAATTTTCAAACGAGCGCGGCGAAGTTATGTGATTTGCAGCGCCAGAAATTATAATTGAATCGCGCTAAAAGCTAATGTTCCAGCGTGCGCGTTCGAATACCAAGGGCTGGCGCTGCCGAGTTCTTCATTTTCGTTGAGAGCAATTATATCTCCGACGGTCGCGGCACTAACCTCTCAATACCAGCCGCTCTTAAATACGATTTTGGGCTTGAGCAAAAAAGGCTACGCGGGGGGCAAGGGGTTGCAGAAAGAGGAGGCGGAGGAGGAGGATAGCGGGAGGGCGACGACGACTCCGACGCGGGCCGGCCGAGAGAGAGCTGCAGCGGCAAGCGGGCCGGCCGCCGGCCAGCTCATCCTCGTTACTCCTATTTCTCCTCCGTCCTCCCATCGCTCTCTCCCCTTCCTCCTTTATCCTTCCCTCCCCCACCCCCCATTTCATCACATCCTCAGGTCCTCTTCTTTTTCTTCCTCCTCATCCACTTGCTCCTCCATCTCCTTCGCCTCCATCTACCCCCCCACCCCATCCCCGCAGCTGGCACGGAGGTTAAGGACAAGAATCGGAAGGGTGGCCTCATGTGCACCTTTTATTTATATATATATATATATACATATATATATACTGTTATTTATTTCTATGCGGATATTGTTTTGACCCCGCCCCCCATCTGGGCCCTCTGGGGCCCTTTGGGGCCCAATTTCAAAGTCCTCGGGGGCGCGTGGGCAGCGAGGGGGGCATCGATAGAGAGGGCGAGGACGAGGAGACTGAGGAGATGAGGAGGATGACGAGAGGAAGGGCGCCCAAAGGCCCAGTAAGGGCCCCCCGAAGCCGAAAACAGCGAAAAACCTCCTGCCTTGCTCCTTTCGCCACGCGAAGGGGTCTGGGGAGGAGAAGGTCCTGCACCACGTTGCGAGCAGAACCAGGACGTCGGGGGGCCTGGAAGGGGGAAGTGGAGGCCGCCGCCGCCTCCCCGTGTCCCGAGCGGGCCCCAAATCCCAGCATCTCCGTCCTCGTGACGCTTCGGGGGCGGCCAAGAGAGGGGCGTCCAAGAGGAGGGCGCAAATCATGGCCAGCGGCACATGCGCGGCCCAGGGGGGGGGACGTAATGGAATGTGAAGAGGCGCCATGAAATCTGTGGAAACAGCATGGCCCACGCCATGATATCCCCCTCCAGTCATCACCCCCATGTTGGCCGCCCCCGAACGCTGTCGCAGCGCAGGCCCCGCAGCTTTCCAATTATACCCCTATCCCCGGGACCAAGTTTGCATCCCGAGCTCGTTGCCTGGCAACCCGGAAGCGAAGAACTATCAAAAACCTCCCGTCGTGGCTTGCTCACATCGAAGAAGTGGTCTCCCCCCCCCCCGGGAGCCGGCGTTCTGGGCGCCGCAGGTCGCTGGCGGGCGTGGGGGGCACCTTCTGGCCTGAGGCGCGCCCTTCCGTCAACATCTCGTCGTCGTCCTGCCTCGTCGTGCTCTCCTTTGCGTCGTCCTCGAGGAGGAGAAGAGTCGGAGGAGGAGAAGACCCCAGCCGCCGCCAATGGGCATCCCCCTCATCCTTCAAAGCATTCCACTCCTCGAGCTCATTGCACTCCATATCCTCCATCTTGCGCCTCTTTCTCCTCCTCCTCCTCCTCCTCCTCCTCCTCCTCCTCCTCTTCGTATTATTTCCTACTCGTCGTCCCTACGTTCACTTATCGTCACGCCAAATCCAGTCTCCTCATCCTTGCTGATCGCAGTTCGCTCCTCCCTCCTTCTCCCCGTTCCCGCATCCCTCATCATGATCCTCCTGTCTGTCACCGTCAGCCTGGTATTCCTCAATCCCCCTCCCCTCTTTCTATAGGTTCCCATCCCCCTTGTCCTGATGATGGTCCTTCTCCTCCTCCTGCGCACTGACGGCCACGCGGCGGCTTGTCCGCCGTAGCCGCAGCGCGCGCCCGCGCCCGCGGCCGCGCGCTGTGTGCGCGCCCAGATTTGTACCGAGCACGCGCAGCGTGACCTATTTCCCTCCCTCTACCTCAGCGGGGAGGCTGAGGCAGAAGGTGGGAGCCTCAGGAAACAGCCTCTGGACCCAAGACCCCGCCAAGGAACATGAAGGAAACCACGGGAGCCTCATTGGGCCACGAGGAGGGGGAAAGGAGGCGGGGCCCGAGGGGCGGAAGGACAAAATACCAAAGCCTGGGGCACTTAGCCCCCCGACCACCACATCCATAGTTGAAGACGGCCTCCAACTCGCGCGATCGACGCGGAGGCGATGGTGGGGGGGCAATGTTTAATGCACGAGCGCGCGCCCCCCCAACAGGAGTAAGCCAGGCGGCAAACATATAGAGAGCGAGAGGAAGGAACGAGGGGGGGCCCACAAACTACTACGAGGCGGCCGCGCCCCCAAGGAACCCGAGGGAGGGACGAGGGTCAAGGCCATCAAGGCTCATGAGGACAAGGGAAGGCGAGGGAACCTGGGGCGGCTCAGCCCTATACAATCGGCCCCCGCGGGGCCAGGTTTCAGACGTAGAGGTCGACCTCGTCCCCCTCGCGGCCGCCTGCGCCCCCTGGGGCGCCCTCGGGGGCCGGCGCGGTCGCCGCCGAGGGGGCGTTCACGACCCTGTACTGCGTGTGGCTGGTGTCTTTGTTGGGCGTGTGCGTAGTGTTTTCGCGGGGGTCCTTCATGTGCCCCTCGCATGGGCGTGGGCCCAGGCCGAAGCGGCCTGCTGCTCCGCTCTCGCTGTTGTTGTTTCCTTCTCCGGGCTGGCCCTGCCCCCCGCCCTTCGGCGCCAGCGGCGCTGCGGGGGCACAGGGGGATGTCGCCGCCCTACGGCGCCACGCGCTGTGGTGACAAGCCGTTGTGGTCCTCCTCCTCGTCTGTGTTGATCTCCGCTACTGTCGCGTTGTGGTTGCCGTCGAGGAGGAACTGGTCGTGGCTGTGGTTGTATTCGACGTCGTGGTACTTCTGGGAATAGCCGTCGTTTCTACCATGCTGGGACCGGTGCTGTCTGGCTTCTGTGGCAGCGCATGGCGACGCCCGCTTGCCGCTGGCACCCTCTGGGAGCGTCGTCTCCTGATGCTGGGTTGGCTGCTCATGCGCGCTTTCACAGTGGTAGCGGTCATAGTATGTCACGAATTCAATTATACTGCCTGTCCGTTGTGCGTCGTCGTTGCTGCTTTCGCGCGCTGCTGCCATGATTCGCGTTAGCTCGTCGCCAGCGTCGCTGGTGCGCTGGAACTGCTTGCTCGCGATCTCGCGGTCGGTCACGGCGACGAGGTCGCGGCTCTTCACATGTTGTTGTTCGTGGGGGCGGTAGTCGAGATAGGTCCGATGTGCATTCAGCAGGCCGCGTCGTTGGCGATGCACTTGTGCACGAGGGAGATAACGTCACGCACCTTCGCGTTGTAGTGCATGATGGTATTTGAATATGTATGGCCGGAGTCGCTTCTCCCCCGCGAGTGTTGCTCATCGCGAAGTCGTTTGCTGCTGTCGAGGCTCGGTATGGACTTCTTGTAGTAAGTGGCGTCGATTGTGCCATTCCGTATAGCCTCATGAATAGCGTTGTTACTGTAATCAGGACTTCTGTCATACGTCTGGCTCGTGTGGTTCGCTATAGTAAAAATACGTACTCGTCGATGTTGTAGGCATGCTTGCTGCTCGATGCCGTTGACGATGCGCATTGTGTCTGCACTGGTGGCATTCTGGTCGGTGACGATCATAATCGTCGAAATTCGATATGGCCTGACGTTGTCTGCCTCCGATGTGTCATCGTCGGCTGTGTCGCGCCGTATGTTGCGCATACGACTATCGTGTGTCTGAGCTCCTTCCGTCTGTCCTCGTCGTCCTGCTCTTCATCTGCTTGCGGTGACAAGGGAACTAGTGCAATAATCATCGTTCTATGTTCGTCGCCCGTGCCTGCTCGTTGCGCAAAGTGGTGATCCGTTGCGTTGTTGGCGAGGGCGTTCTGCGTAATCTTCGGTAGTCCGTTGTGTTTGTTTGTTCGCCGCATGTGCTTTATCTCTTCGCATCGGTCGCTGGCTTCGTCGTAATCGAGCTGCTTGCTGGGCATCATGGCAAGCACTGCACACTGACTGCCGGAGCACACGTGCTCGTGCAATCGGTGGACCGTCCAGTGCTCCCTCACGCAGAACTGGCATATAGCCCCGTGGATGTAGCTGATGATGTTTCCCTGCTGTCTGTGCTTAGCGCGCATGTGCTTTGCGGCGCGCTGCTTTGTCGTTCAGGATTTGCCCGCATTCGTACCGCGGGTACCTGCGATCATGTTGTGGGTCTTCGATGTCGGGCTTCGGGATGGTGGTGCCGTCGCACGTGTCTTTGGCGCGTCTTCTCGCGGCGGCCGTGGCTGCTTCTTCTTTATTGAGCCCGACGGCTGTCTTGTAGGCGTGTGTAGTTATGCATTTGAATGTGGGTGGCGCTTCTGTTGCCATGTCTATCCATTGGCGTGCGTCGTCGTAGTTGGGCGTATTGTGGTGCTTGCTGGTGCGCACTTTAATATGTTGGAGGTCGTCTGCTATCGTAGTTGACCATCTGCCTGTGTTCTCGATGTCGCGGCCAAGTAGGGCTGCTAAGTCAGTAGGGCATGCGTTCGTTTTCCGTAGAATATGCCACAACCTTGCTTGCCGTAGTCTGTGTGGGAGCGTCGGGATGCCTGCCCAGCTGATGATCTCGATGTTGGTGATCTTCTACAGCAAAAACGTCTGATGGTCAATGCCCGATGCCATCCTCGCTGCTGCTGTGCACGCACAGGCGATCCTGCCCGTGTCAGCCATTTTTGCAGGCATCCGTGTTCCTGCATTGTATAGTAGTCGCCGGAATCCAAGGGCGTTGAGATACCGCATCTGAGGAGCATTCGTAATCTTGTCGCGCTTGAACACCGTTTTTCGGAGTGGTGTGGTAGCCTCCTTTAGAGCAAGTGCACGTGCTGCCACTTCATGGGTAAACTCGTTACGATCTTCTACCATTGCGCCCAAGAATTTGAGAGTTCGCGTAATAGTCACTGCCATACCCCTGCCCGTGTACGTTTTCTAATCGATGTGCATTGGTCTCGCGATTATTGTTCCTTCCTTGTTGTAAGCGAAGATGAGGCAGTTAGGCTTGGTAATGTTAATGGGGGGCCCTCTCGATGGTGTCGTTCGTATTAGTATCCCCACATGGTTTTGACTGCAGTCTCGATCGCATCGCCGTCGGTGACCGTTGCCATAGCTTTCACGTCGTCGACGAATGATGTTGCCGTCATATGCTGGTTTTCATGAATATTGCAGAATACGGGGGAGCTGCCTGCTACCCTTACTGAGGCGGCCGCTTTCATCGCCTCCTCGTGATAGGCTTTCGTGACTGCAGGCATCGGCGCGTTGAACGTGAAGTCGGCTGTGGACACTCTTGGTCGTGTTCCTAGCCTTGGTGCTGCGTAGACTGAGTCGCGCTCGGTGAAGAACCACGCGTTGCGGTGGGCTTCGGTCAGCATGGAGAGCAAATTCTTGTTGTCTATGTGGGTACTGGCGATGCCGTTGTTGGTCACGAGGGTCTGTATAGCTGGCTGCATGCATTGAGGTAGATCCACATGGTCGAGCAGGTTGTCGATGTCGCCGGTGCTCATCTGCATGTCGTATACCAGGTTCGTGGCTACCTTGCGAAAAGGCAATTCCAATGTCGGTCATGATCATGATGATGTCGGCTCCTTCCGCGGCTGCATGGTTGAATGTCAGTCGCATAAGAAGGTGGTTGTAGTCCGTCCTGTAGTAGCTTCGGCCTCCCATCTGAATGCTGAAGAATAACCCAGGTAGCAAATCCTTCATGCATTGTCGTATACATCTGCAGTGGCGCTTAATGATGGTGTTAGCGAGCGGCTCATTGTTCTGCCTCGCTTCTGCTGCTCGTGTGGCTTGCTGGTTGATGAACTCGTCGTTGTCATCGTTGACCATTCGTGATGATGTTTTCCGAGTCTCGTTGTACCAGTCTCGTGCAGTGAGGATGAATCCGTTGCAATCGTTGCTGATGCTAGCCCGCTGTGCTTCGATGGCGAGCCGCATGCGTCCGATATGGTGCTGGTCGATGTATTTGGACGGTGCGCTTCTTGTCGGGTGCTCGATTGTGTAGGCTATCTCCTTGAGAATTCTTCTGGTCACTATGTGGTACGTTGGTCCATGCTGCGCCGCTTTCCGTAGAAGCTTGGCAAGTCCTCGTCGAAGGATGATGAGCTCGAAGGCATGGTCGGAGATTTACTCCTGCATCTTCTTGTGCTGGCTCTTGGGAAATGATGCAGTGGCTGCCTCCACGATGCTGAGCGTGTACAAATAAGCGTGTTGGCCGAGGCTGGTATACCATGTCGGGGACCACGGTCGCTTGGAGCATCTGCTTGAATTTGTTGACCGCCTCCTCGTCCGTCAGCTTTGTTCTATCGGTCTTAGGGCACAGCTTCTTTTTGGTCCTGGTCGATATGTGGCAAGCCACTTGTGCAAACACTGGTGTATGGTCCTCTCGTGGTTGGTCTGCCTAGGCTTGCTCTTTTATCGCCTCGAAATCTAGCATCGCCAAACATGTTGTCACCGCTTGCTGTAGTCGTTCGCTTAACCTGATGTAGTGCGGTGCCCCTGTCCGTGGGCATCTTTCCACGTGTGGTGATCTGTGCCGCCTGACCTGTGCTTATTGACGATAGGCATGTGCACTGACGCAACCAATTCATGTAGCCGCTGTCTATGTTCGTCTTGTTGTTGGTGTACACCTGCAGATCCTACCCATTGTGATGTCGTAGATCCCACCCGCCCGTTCGCATCGATGTAGATTATGGACGGGTTGAACTTCGATAGTTGCTTGGTTAGGTGATCCCAGAAATCATGTCGTTATTGAGCGTTTTTCTTCTTATGCGAAGCGTGCGCAACACACACCATGTGGTCGGAGGCCTTCGCCTGGATCCGCACAGTGAGTAGCCGTGGCTTGGCTACGATCACATGAAAATCCGATGGCTGACAAAAAAATGGCCCCGTTGGTGTTGTAGCATATGGTCACGTAAGGCTGGCCACAATTCGCGCCCACAGTTGTAGTTGTGGGGTGGGCTGCTGATCATGTAGTACCCGTTGCTGGTAGCAACTCGTCGCTCGTTACGTACTTCTTGGATTACAAACAGGTGTACTTCGCGATGTTGTAGCTGTCGTCGTATGATCGGCCCCCGCCATTCGTTAGTCAAACTTCCTGCTCTAGTCATATGTTTCTTGACTGGCGGCTCCGCTTCTCTGACGTTCTCGAAATTGTATGCCATGGTGTTGCTATTGATCTCCGCTGAGATGTTTGTAGTATCCGTCGGCGCAATCATGTACTCGGGTTTGGCGTCGCGCTCCGTGTTCCCGAAGATGAGGTTGTTGTCCTGTTTATCTGGGTATGCGTGTCGGTATCGGCTGTCATGCTCCTCCTCCTCCTCCTCCTTCCCTTCTGTCTCCTCCTCCCTTCCCATGTCCCCTCTCCCTCCATTATCATCATCCGCTGTGCGCTTGGAATGTACTGTGAAACGACAAAGCTGATTGCCATTGCGACTAGGATGGTGCGACTAAGAACCATGTGGCTGCTCTGAATCTCCAGATCAAACGGAAAATAAAAAACGGTACGCAGTAGAACAATACGCACTGTGGAATTCAGTTACGATTTGTGTAGACGCTCAAGCACCGATCTCGGCGCCCTCGCACAGCGATCCGTCTCGCAATGGCGGATCGCACGCTGTGACACAGAACCCTGTAGCGGATCACGGTCTCGAGATCGAGCTGAAACGCTGGCTGCTTGAATCAACGAGCGTCCAACACCGATGTCGGTTCTCGGCGGCGACGATAGGGGCGAATAGCCCAGGGGCGGGCATTACACGCATTCGCCTGGGAGCCTTGTCGAAGACATCGACCATCGGCGCCCCTGGATACATGTACACGTCGTTCATTTCTAATCGTGCTCATTTCTAATTGTCTTAGTTTCTAGTTGCTCCTGGCCCACTAGGTGGTCGGGAAGATGCCCGGGGTAGAGCAATCAGAACTGAAAGGACCTTGGCCCCCAGAAAATCAGAGAACTTCCGAAGAATCAAACATGAACAACGTGTACTGCTCCCCCCCTGGGCTATTCGCCCCCATCGTCGCTTCCGAGGTTCGTCAGCCCGTCGGGCACGCCGCGCGCGCCCGCCCCCGCGCGCGCGGCGGCGGGCCTTCGGGCCAGACGTCGCTGGTGGCGCCCACCTGACGGGCGGGGGCCCGGAACCCTCACGCCGTGACAGAACACGCGACCGGCGGCTTCCTGCTTCAGGGGCAGGCCCCGCCCTCCTCCTCCTCCTCTTCCTCCTCCTCCTCCTCTTCCTCCTCCTCCTCCTTCTCCTCGTCTTCCTCCTCCTCCTTCTCCTCGTCTTCCTCCTATCCTCCTTCTCCTCCTGCTCCTCCTTTTCCTCCTCGGTGGGAAGGCGCCGAACACCCAGAGGGGCTCGAGGCCCAACAGCAAGCGTCGTCCAAGACCGACAGCGGCCCGGGCAGGCAACCTCCCGTCTCGAACGGGCCACGCCCGCGACGGCACCGACAGCGAGCCCTGACCAGAATGGGCAAGATTTCCTGCTTCCAGGGAAGGCCCCGCCCTCCTCCTCCTCCTCGTCTTCCTCCTCCTCCTCGTCTTCCTGCTCCTCCTCCTTTTCGTCTTCCTCCTATCCTCCTCCTTCTCCTCCCCCTCCTGCTCCTCCTTCTGCTCCTTCTTTTCCTCATCCTTTTCCTCCCAACCGTCGGTTCTCAGGAATTGATGGGAGGCGGGGGCAGGGTTCGGTGTTCGCCAAGCGTGCGGCGAATTCAAAACCCTACACGTCGTTCATTTCTGAGCGTGCTCGTTTTTCATTGTGCTCGTTTCTAATTGTTCCTGGCCCCCTAGTGGCCAGGAAGAGGCCCAGGATAGAACAATTAGAAATGAAAGGATCTTGTCCCCCCCCCAGAAAATCAAGGAACTTTCGAATAATGAAAAATGAGCAATGTGTAGCCATCAAATGTGGCGTCTTCTGGGCCCACTGTGTTGTAACCGCTGCGGGTTCCACTCGACCCACCATGCGGCAAAGTTACATACATGAGAAGTGCACCTCTCACCCGCCCTCACAAGCAACTGCAAATGAGGCGTTGACCTAAGGAGCGGAAGATACGGAAAGAGGATCGTGCTTCCTTAAGTTTAACTTCGATTTCCGATCGAAAGCCGAAAGTAAACCTAAGGCAGACAGTAAAACAACTAAGGGACACGGAGCCCCTCCCAAACGAAAAGTGTCCTTCTGTAGCGCCCCGACTGGATGTGCAGGCTCGGGTGGATGCGTGGTGGCCGACGAGCTCGGGAAGGGACCCCGAGATGCCGAAGGTTGCACCTGTGGAGCGTGCGCCTGCTGCTTCTACACGCGCTGCCGGGCACGATCTGGTCTCTGCAGGCACCTGGGTGTGGAACTTGGTGGAGGTTGACCTAAGGAACCCCAAAAAAGGAGCGAGGCCCTATTTTCCCAATACGTTAAACTCCGATTCCCCATGGAAGACCTCAGGAAAACCTGAGAGAAGACTGTGAAAGAATCAGGGAACACCGAGCCACTTCCCAACGAAAAGGGCTCCTTCTTCAGCGCCCCGACTGCAGATTGCTTGGCCTTTCCCCCTCCCCCAGCATTAAGTCGGGCCTGTCGCTCTACAGGGGGGATGTCCAAAAATAGTCCAAACATAGTCTGGGGACTATGTTTTTAGTATTTGCTTGACCATGTTGGAGCATGTTTTGAATATTGTTATTTTTCGCCCCAAATCCCCCTGTGGGGGGACACGCCCGACTTAACCCCAGCACCCAACTTCCAGTTCAATGGGGGAGGGGTCTCCGAGCTCGCCCGCGCGCCCCCCCGGGCCTCCAGAGCCTGGAGTTCTACGCTCCGCGGCCTCCACGGTGCCCAGGATGCCATCTGCGCTGGCTCACGCTGCGTTCGAAGACGCCGAGGAGTGCCCAGGAAGCCTCGGAGACGCCTCCAGAGGGCTCCTGGAGGACATCCAAGAGGGCCCCAAGGATCAAAAATCGTCACTCCCCTGAAGGAAACGAATCTGTTCAACACATTCGCTCTTTTGTCTGAACAGCGTGCAAGACGGCCCAAGACGCATCAAAAACTGCTCCAAGACGGCCCAATAGCCTCCCGAGAAAGCCCCAAGACAGGCCAAAAGGGCCACAGCACGGTCCAAGAGGGCCCCAACCGGGCCGCAAGAAAGGCCAAAGAGGAGTAAGTTTAGCTGACATGTTCAGCCCGCCGCCCCAAGAGAAGAGAGCCCCCGAGACCACCAGCAGAAGCCCAAACGAGGCTCTCAGAGGCCCCCAAACGGTCCCCAAAAGGCCCCAACGGTCCCCAAAAGGCCCCCAGCGGTATCCAAAAGGAAAAGGCCCCCCAACACCCCACCCGAGGACTTCTTTCTTTTTCTGTGGGTCCCGCGCCAGCTCTCTGACAACGCGCCCGCCACATGCGTTAGAGAAACCTCCCAGGACCTGGAAAAGCGACCCCTAAACAGTCCCAAGAAACCTCACAACCACCACAATCGTGAACTTCTGACCTCTACTCGGGTTCGGCCGAATGGCGTAAGCCTCTTGGATAGATCACTTGGGTGGGAATTGGGACCAGCAAATGTGCTGTGTGCCACATTCCCGCCTCATTGCTCTCTTCATTCGGTCGTCATGTGGCGCCTACGGTTAATGCAATGCGGAATGCCAAGCCCACAACGACGCCTATCCATATATATATATATGTATATCTAGTTTGTTCTCTCTCTCTCTCTCTCTCTTTCGCTCACTCGTGTCTTGTTTTTGTTCTCTCTCTCTCTCTCTCTGTCTGCTTGCTTCGATTTCTAAATATTTCTTTATGTCTGTGTCTCTCTTTGCTTTCTTTAGTTATTTCTCCCTCTCTCTCATTACAGATCCGCCATCGGGATCGGCTTCTGCAGCCCTGCCCCCCCTCCCCCCCCCACCCACACACACACACACATACACACACACACACACACACACTGTCGCAGCCTGCCTCCGACCACACGAAATCCGAGGAACGACCAATAGTTAATGTATAACGGACCTGGGTCGACAATACATGATCACCTTCACGCGATGCCAGGCCAACTGCTGAAATTGTGCAGACATGCTGGGCAAGCTCGGGGGTTGCCCAAAATGTCCCTGGCCCACGGTGTCCCCAGATTTGCTCAATTTCGGAGCCGCTGTGGACCTCTTCGGTCTCGTGAGGGATCATTAGAAGGCCGTGCGGGCCTCCTTGGAAATCCTGGGGGCACCGTGGGCTGGGGACACCTCTGGCAACACACGTCCCTGTAAGCGGCTGGAGGCGTCGCTGGGCCAAGACATCTGCTGGGAAGGCTTCTCCATCAGGCTCAGGCGCTCCATCCAGAGTGCGTCAGAGTCGAACCTCAGAGGAGTCGCTGTCGCGCTGGCGCTGCTCCCCGCGGTGCTGCAGGGGGGGAGGAGAGAGGAGGAGGAGGAGGAGGAGGAGGAGCAGGAGGAAGAGGAGGAGGAGGAGGAGGAAGAGGAGGAGGAGGAGGAAGAGGAGGAGGAGGAGGTGAAGGCAAGCGACGGCGGGAAGAGGAGGAACAGGAGGAGGGTAAGGGACAGTGGGAGGAGCAGGAGGGGAAATAGCAGAATGAGGAGCAGGAGGAGAGGGAGGAGAGGCAGAGCAGTGGAAGGGAGGAAGGGAAGAGGGCGAGGAGGAGCAGCCGGGAGAGAAGCAGCGGCAGGAGGCCGAGGCGCAGCAGCGCTGCCGAAGCCGCCTCGAACACGGGCAACTTCAGCGTCAGCGACGGCGCCCTCAGCAGCGCGTCCCAGTCCGGCTCCCGCAGCCGCTCCTGAGGAGGGCGGGGATCGAGCGATCCGCCGGGGCGCCCGCGCAGAGCGGCGCGCGACGTGCGCCCTGTCGACCGGCGGCAGCGGCGCGGGGCGGCGGCGGCAGCGAAGGGGGGGGTGGAGGAAGGCGGGTGCCTCACCCGCAGATGTCCGACGATCCAGTGGTCTGGGTCGATGCAAGCGCTGCGCCTGAAGTGCGAGCCCCGGGGCCCGCCACGGGGCCCCAGGGCCATGGAGGCGAGGCACTGGCCCAGAGGGAAGTGGTTGGGACCTTCCTGGGCCGCGGAAGGAGGGAATACGAAATGCTCGGACTCTGAGGGCCCTGGGGGTTGCGATGACACGATCAGGTCGGATGGATGGCACGTCCAATAACGACTCGTCGATGGACCTACGCGCGCGTGTTTTGGATTCAGTTCATTCTGGCGGGTGTATGGGGGGGCGCTCCCCCTCCCCTGCGGCGTCGTCTCGCAAAACGGGCAGATGGGCGTGGGGGTGGGCGGGATGCAGGGAAGGGGCGGGGAGGGCGATGATGATGATGATGATGATGATGATGATGATGATGATGATGATGATGATGATGATGATGATGATGATGATGATGATGATGATGTGGATCAGAACCAACCCAGACTGCGACAACGACGCTGCAAGACACCCTCCAATCCCAAGCCCCCTCCGCATAAATTCCGTATTCCATACCACTATAAGAAATGATCCCTTGAAAGAAGAGCAACCTGTGGTCCTACTGTTCAGGCGGGAGCGCAATGTTTGAAACGGAAGTGCGTTGCATCCGTCTCCGTCCATGCAGCTTTTGCTCACGTTAGAAAGCAATGTGCGCGGCGCTGAGGCGTGAACCACATTTTGCAAACGTGGACGTGCAACCCTCCATCATCGTAACTGCTGCAAACTCATACGACGAATGCGTGCAGCAATGAGGCGGGAACCCCATCAAAAAGCACCGTTATCCATCCCTGAATCTGCTGCATGCTGCGAAGACAGAATTGCAAGGCGCAACTACGGGAACCCCATTTTCGAAAAGACCTCCCCCCCTCATCCCGGAATCGGTTGCAAGCTTTTGGCACGAATGCGCGCGGCGCTAAGGTGAGAGCCCCGTTTTCAGAGCAACGTCCCTCCATGCTTGCAACAGCTGGAAATGTCCAGCTTCAGGGGTCGTGAGCAGTGCTGCAGTCTCAAGCGAAACGCCCTGCCCGCCCTACCGACGCGTCCGGTGGCGCGACACGGAAGAGTTACAGTATCTACAAGGAGACGGGATGGGGGAGGGTGATGGGTGTGAGGATTAGAAGAAGAGGGAAAACAAATGAGGAGGACGAGCAGAAGTTGGATGGGAAGGCAAGAAACGCGGGCAAAAGCAGCATAATGTCAAGAGCTGGAGTGTCACCCGGACACCCAGCGTCCTGATCTGTTCCGCAAGTTGCCCTCCTCAGAGGTCTGGACCCTTCACGGGGACTGGCTTCTCATCTGGACTCGTTTCTGACAGTGCCTGGGCCCCATGAGGGCTTCTGGGGAAGGAGATTTTGCCCAAACTGCCCATCGCCAAGACCGCGCTGACGGCGTGCTTGGATAACGGTGCGATGGGTAACATTGTTTCTGTGACACCGACCTCACGCAAAACAAAAGGTAGGACATCACGAAACACCGTTTCCTACATTTCAAATGTGCGAATGTATCAAACGACAACGACACAGCGATTTGTAGGAAAACACGAACCATGCGTTCCTACAACCAGTTTGTCCACGAGCCACGGATTTCCACAATTGGTTTCCCTTCATCGCCGTTAACTAGCACTCCGTTAGCGCGTCTACGGCATCGTGATGTTTACACGACGCGAAAAAAAGTGGATTGAGAAGGAGCGAGAGAACTCCATCCGCACCACCACCACCTCAGACGGCGAAGACAGGCCGCAGGCAGCCTGAAGGGCCGTAGCGACGCAGCAACGACGCCACAGCCGAGAGCCCAACCCCACCGACCGAACGCGGCCGACTGCGATTCCTCCTCCTCCTCCTCCTCCTCTTCCTGCTCTTCCTCCTCCTCCTCCTGCTGCTCCTCCTCCAAGTCCTCCTCTTGCTCCTCCTCCTCCTCCTCCTGCTCCTCCTCCTCCCTGTCCTCCTCCTCCTCCTCCTCATCATCATCATCCTCAACCCAATCGCACCGACCGAACGCGACCGACTGCGACGCAGCCGCACCGACCGAACCGCGAGCACGCCTGTCAACAACCTCCACCTCCGACGGCGACGAAGGCCGACCAGGTCTGGCTTCCGCGTCGTACCGCGGACCTCCACCAGCCCGTTCGGGACGATCAGGGCACCCGTTCGGGACGCCCTCGGCGAGGCGCCGATGCTGGAAAGCAGCCCGAAAAACGTCAGAAGACCTTCGAAACTTCACGCCGCGGGGAGGTGGGGCGCGAGGAGGAAGCCCACCGCCACCGCCGTCACCCCTGGGGCGCCAGAGATGGAAGTCGCACACACCCCGGATTCGGCTCGTTGACTAGAGTCGTCGGTCGTCCTTGTCGTTGTCGTGTCTTCTCGATCATTATCGCCATCGTCATGGTCAACATCTGTCTTCGTCGTCGTCGGCCGCCGAGGGGCCGACTGAAAATCGCCTGGAGCTCCAGCGTCGAACCCACTCCAGCGGGCCCGCACAGCCATACGGTCGTCGTTTGACGTCGGACGTCGTCTTCTGTCGTCGTCGTCGTCGTCGTTCGTCCTGCGTCGTCGTCGTCGTCGTCATCGTACTCGTCGGTTGTCACTGTCGGTCGAACTTGTTGTTGTTGGTGGTGATGCTTGAATGTGAATTACTAAACAAATATTATTGTTGGACCCCCCCAGGCGCCTTGGCGCTCTCGCCTCGGCGCCGGCTACAGTTTCATCGAAAATGAAGCTCACGCTCGAGCAGTTTGGGATGGCGCCAACACCGCCCCCCCAACAAAAACAACGCTCCCGCTCGAGGCTGCCTTCTTTTGTGCTAGGGGCCGGTGCTCTTGCTCGCCGCCGAAAGCCGCTGTCCCAACAAAACCAACGCCTACCGCTCGGGACTTCCTCCCGTTTTACATTGGACTCGCGCGCAACTCTTTCTCTCATCGGCGCCGCCCCCAGCAACGACAGCGCTCCCGCTCGAGATGTCCTCCCTTTTTTACTCCCGCCGTCCCGACAGAGCCAGCGCTCCCGCCTGACACTTCCTCCCGTTATACGCCGGACTGGCGCCGTGTTATTGTTTGCATTGGCGCCGCCCCCAGCATGAACAACGCTCCCGCTCGAGGCGTCCTCCCTTTTTCCTCAGGACGGTGCTCTTCCTCGCCGCCGACAGCCCCCGTCCCGACAAAACCACGAGACTTCCTCCCTTTCTTACTCAAGGCGGTGTTCTTCCTCGCCGCCGACAACCACGGTCCCAACAAAACCAGCGTTCTCGCTCGAGACTTCGTCTTGTTTTACGCTGGACTACCGCCCTACTCTCTGAAGCATTGGCGCCGCTCCCACTAACAACAGCGGCCCTGCTCGAGACTTCCTCCCATTCTATTCAGGGCCAGGTCCTTGCCTCGCCGCCGACAGCCCCCATCCCCACCATGGCAATCCGACGCCGACATCCCCACTCGTTGCTCGATACTTCCTTGTGCTTTCCCCTTGGCTGGGGCTCCACTGGCGGTCACGCATCCGCGCAGCAAGGCGCGGGCATGTGTCTTCGAGGCGGGAAATGTTGAATTTCCTGGAAGGAAGTGTTTGCAAGACCTCATTGGGCGGGAGATCTGGGAATGGGAATAAAGGACCCCGCTATAGAACAAGAGTCCCCCATGATGGGGATGGTTATCACGATGGTCGCAGGCTTCGTGTGGAAACATCGCGCATGAGGGTCAACTGATTGTTGTTATTATTGTTGCTATTGTCGGCTCGATAGACGTCGTTGTCATCGTCGGTCATCGGCGGCCGCCAGGAACCCGAGTGACAATTGCCTGGATATCCCCACCAGCCCATTCGTCCCAATCAAAATCCCTGGCGATGAGAGCTGACTGGAAACGGGAGGAAGGGATACATACAGTGAAACAAAGCGGCAGAGGAGGAAGGGGATGAGGACGAGATGGAAGCGGACGAAGACGAGGAGGAGGAGAGGGAGGAGGACAAGAATCTTAAAGCCATCTTGGGGCCTGTTAGAAGCATGATTCACCCCTTCTGGGGCTCTCTGGCGGCTATCTTGGGGCTCTTTGAAAGGGGTACTGCGGCCCTGTTTGAAAATCATGGGGGCCTCTTGGGGCCTCTTATGTGCCTCTCGGTGCCTCTGTTTTCTGGTCTGCGGCACGCAGAAAAGGGATGTGACGGCAAACCCGATCATCCCAACAGTGCGGCGCAGTGGCGCCCTCCAAAACGCAACTTAAACCACGGTTCTTGATAACATCCGAATGGCAAGCTAGACCCAAATTGCAACAACACCCTCTCGAACGCTACTCACTCCACTTCATCCGACGACGCCCGTCTCGGCATCGTCGCCGTCGCCGACAACATCCTCGCCGGCGCCCGCGTCTTCTGGCAACGTTGCTGTGACGGGCCATGGCCTCTGCACAAGAACCGTCACGAACGGCTTTCCCTTATCCTTGCGAGCAACCTCCAGCTGAAGGTTGACGCGCTCCAAGAACTGCTTGGCGTTGCCGTGCCAGAGAACGTTGTTCACCTTGACAATGTGATCGCCGACCTGGATGTCGGTAAACGGATTATTCTCGTTCCAGTCGTGCACCGCACCCACGTTTCTGACACTTTCGACCTTAATTGGGGCCGTCTCGTTGTCCGAGCTAAGGTGCCAGCCCATCATCTGACCGTTCACTATCGGCAACCGGATGTAGAATTCATGGGAGAATGGCCTGCCCTTGTCCTCCGCGAAGGCGTCCTTAACTCCGACAGGCCTCCTCAGGAAAAGTGATATGTTACCAGTTTCCTTTGATTTGGAATACTGCTCGTTCAAGCGCTTTTCGAATGAAGACGAGTCCTGGCGCCACAGGACACTGTTCACCTTGACAATGACGTCTCCTGGCAAGATCTTCGATTCTGGGTGCTCTTGGTTGTGCTCGTACACCACGCCATTGCTGCGGACCTTAGAAACAGTAAGTGGAAACTCCTCCTCGCTGTGACTCAGCTGCCAACCCAAAATCTGTCCCTCAATAGCGGGCAGCGTGACTGTCCATTCTTTCATGATCGGCTGGACCAGACGCCGTTGCATGACAAGATTCAGG